GGCGACTAGGGGTGTTGGCTTTGCGTTGCATTTGGAGAGTGGCTGTGGTGCGAAGGCGGTCTACCTTTGTGTTCAGGTGCCTATTCTGCGACGTTTAAGTGTTGCATGGTTTGGGTTCAGGAGCAAGTGCGTGATTTGCAAGAAGTCTGTAGAATGGGGTGAGAGGCTATGCATATTGGGGACTGGGTTGCCGCACATGGATTTGGATGGAAAGATCGGTTTGGTGAGAACGTTCTGATAGTGCACCACTGGCGGCTAGGGGTGTTGGCTTTGCGTTGCATTTGGAGAGTGGCTGTGGTGCGAAGGCGGTCACCTGTGGTGCGAAGGCGGTGTACCTTTGTCTTGAGGTGCCTTTCCCGCAACGTCTCTGTGTTGCATGGTTTGGGCTCAGGAGCAAGTGCGTGATTTCCAAGATGTCTGTAGAATGGGGTGAGAGGCTATGCATATTGGGGACTGGGTTGTTGCACATGGACTTCGATGGGAAGAGTGGATTGGTAAGAACTTTCCGATAGTGCACCACTGGCGACTAGGGGTGTTGGCTTTGCGTAGCATTTGGAGAGTGGCTGTGGTGCGAAGGCGGTCTACCTTTGTCTTGAGGTGCTCATCCCTCGAGGTTTCTGTGTTGCATGGTTTGGGTTCAGGAGCAAGTGCGTGAATTCCAAGACGTCTGTAGAATGGGGTGAGAGGCTATGCATATACCCCTGACCCAACAACGTGTACCTCAACCTACCTTTCTAGCCAAACCACTCTTGCAAGACTATCACGTGGTGACCGCTGATCCCCACAACCGAAACGGCAACGTAAACCTCTCACCAACACCACGCTTCCGCCAGTGGAACCAGAAGTCCACGGATAGGGCGTTGCAAAGACATCGTACCAAACCCAAGTCTTCGTTCACGCACTAAACGTTCTTCAGACATCAAAGCGTTGTGAAAGCAGGCATGCGTCTGACTGGGGCAGCTGACGGGGTGTGTATTTGCATGCAAGCAGCAGTGTCATTTGGGCAAGCATTTACGGGTGCTAATGAGGAAGAACGTGTGTGAATGCGGAGGACTCGATGGTCCTGTGCAAGCCTCCACAGCTCGGTACGCGCACTGCCACACAAGCAGTGCGAAGAAATACAGGTTGAATTAGACCTGCGTGGGTAACGCTGTGATGGGGTTGGTAGCTGAAGCGTTGTACTTTGATTAGCAGTTGCTGGCCGTCCGGTCGGCGATTGCAAAGACATCGTACCAAACCCAAGTCTTCGTTCACGCACTAAACGTTCTTCAGACATCAAAGCGTTGTGAAAGCAGGCATGCGTCTGACTGGGGCAGCTGACGGGGTGTGTATTTGCATGCAAGCAGCAGTGTCATTTGGGCAAGCATTTACGGGTGCTAATGAGGAAGAACGTGTGTGAATGCGGAGGACTCGATGGTCCTGTGCAAGCCTCCACAGCTCGGTACGCGCACTGCCACACAAGCAGTGCGAAGAAATACAGGTTGAATTAGACCTGCGTGGGTAACGCTGTGATGGGGTTGGTAGCTGAAGCGTTGTACTTTGATTAGCAGTTGCTGGCCGTCCGGTCGGCGAAAGCTTAAAATGTACAGTGTATGGGAAGAGCGGCCCGGGTTTTAGTAAGAGCTTTCACAGGAGTGAGCAAACGTGGTATGGGTCGCTGGCTTACAACATTTGAGTTCTAGGTATTTTTGGCTGTGGAATGTTTGGCATGGACCAACGCCGGCAGCTGTTGCTAGAGTGAGATAGGTTCCTCTTCGGCCTTTTGCAATTTCTCTTCGCTTTAGGCTTTGCCTCTCGTCCGTCACGGACCTACCCACGTGTGGCCTAAAGTGAACCATCTACACCAATGGATTCCAGGACGTTCGTCGCCAGCAGATCGAACTTTGGGGTAGGGGCACACTAGCGTAGCAGCGTCTTGCGGAGAGTAGCAGCCATCATTCTTCAAGCAAGAGTTCGTTTGAATTGGCGGAGGCGGACACGGAAACGGTTTGCCACGGGACGGTGTGACTGAGGCACTGCTGGCATTAGTTGCTTTTTTGAAACTTGAGCTGTTTTCCGTACGTCCATTGCGACGGTGAGCAGGCGGGGTGCGATGGAGTGACTGCTTCGCAGAGGCAGGCGCTTCTGCATTATCTGGTAGCTGAAGCCTTGGGCACGAATGGGGAGATGCATATGGGTCATAGCCGATGCGGCAGCAGGTTGTCAACGCGAATGTTGGTTGCATGAAGCCGTGCTGAAGTGCTCCATTGCCCTTCAACTCGACGGCGGCAGTCGGTGCAAGGCCTTCCCATGCACGCTATGATGACGCCGCTTTGATGGCTTATGTTGGGAGTTTAGATTTAGGAGCAGGACACGCTTGCCCCTTGAATTAAACTTCGTTGGCAAAGCCGCGAAGCGCCTTTGCTGCCGTCATGTGCACGTGCCTAGGAGTAGGGAAGTGAAAGCTTGCATCTGGAGGCACGCATCTGCTTGAGCAGAAGGCAGCAGGCGAACACACTTGCCGGCGTTGTCTGTAATAGACGAGCCACTGGAGGTTCTATGTTTAGAAGGGAACCAAGCGGACGAGCCGGAGCTTTGTCGTCGCGCTACCAAGCATCTGAGACTGATATGGATGTTACGTGACTTGTAAGGCTCACCGTATCCCTCGAAACAGCTGGTAGGTGTTCGTACCAAAATGGCGTATGCACGGGTCGGCAGCGACAGTGAAGCGTTCTAGGGGAAGAAACCAACCCAGCAGGCACGCTAGCATGCGTGGATTGTGAACATGCTCGTGGCGGCCCTACGGCGCAATGCTACTTAAGACGGGGGAACTTAATAGTGCATGCTTCGTGAAGAGCCGTTTAGGGTGGGATTCCCATTACGATTGCAACAGATGAGCATCTGTTTACCATCGGACTGCTGCAGAGGCAGTCTCTGCAGAGAGTGTAGTATTTGTTGATCTTCTGTTTGAAGGAGCTGACTTGAATATTTGCCTCTCATGTTTACGTTTTCAACGTCAGTGTCGCAGTGTGTACAGCTTGTACGGTGTGAATCTGTGAAGGACAAGGTGATCAAATGCCCCAACAACAGCGTATGGAAGACCCCACAGAAAGTGCGCTGCAACTAGACCTCATGCACAGCTAGTGAGGGTACTCCTGCGGTCCTTCGGGGTGCCCGTTTATCTCTGCGAAGCAAAACATATTTTCCATTAGTGAAGTGATGTTAAACGGAAGGGGATGCACTGCACAAATGTAGAATCTTTGTAAATGCAGAGGCTGAAAGTGCGCATGAGCTGTGAAGGTTTAGTATACCCTAGAAATGCAAGAAGGGGCGTTCTACAGTTATGCACTGCTTGGGTTGGAGCATGAGCCTCTTCGCTAATGTGCGTATCCTCATACGTGGCGCTGGGTGTCAGTGGGAGTGGTTCAAGGCATTGGCTGCTGGCAGAAGTGATCTGTATGGATATCTGGAAGGGGCTGGCTGGTGCGCTTCACGCATGGCTGCCTGCAACTGTGAGACGGTACTGGCTTGGTTCGTTGGCCAGCGCGCCAACACCATA